TACATTAGCTTCCCCCTAGAATCGACTTCCGTAGGAACGTCCGTTCGATTAACCTATCTTTCGAAAACACCTTGGTTCTATTTCTCATCCCAAGGGAAAATTATCAACTCGCTCACTGTTTGACTTACAATCAGTGACGACTAACGCTGTCAGCTGTCAACGATAGTCCATGGATGTCTCTTCATTTACCAGCTTGTCATCTTATTTTGTAGCATGTGATTTCTTCTACAACTATCGCTGAAGGTTTGCTGCGTGCTTTCAAGAGAAAGAGTGTGAGAATGTGGAATAAGAATATCTGAGGAAGTGCCGCGAGCGGGCTACCCAACACCTTGTTGGTGAGGTACTTCTTATATATCTATATACATTTTTCACGTAGACTGGCTATACATATATACCATATGAACTACTTCTAAAAGTTTTCGGTCGAAGATATGTTTAGTAGCTTGATACGATTAATACTACTATTAATAAGTGGTTTTTTTAGACAAAACATTTTGGATTAAACTATGGTCAAGTACTTATTAAAGTTCTCATCATTTTTTTTTCATGTTTAGGAAACTTACGTAATGACTTAACCAGTTTTCCTGCAGCATGCTTTTTAGTGTGATCATATAACCCATCTTTATTGGCAATATTCAGATTTTTTTAAATTTCTGACATTTAAGAATCAATAACCGTGAAGATATAGTACAGTGCGTTACTGTAAGGTTACTATGTTAGCCGCATTGATTCCAGATACCTCATTTTAAAGACAACTTATAAAGGAACTGTTAAGTAATCATAACATTGAACTGACGATATGACTATCGTAGCTATGTTAACGTTAAACCAATTATTATTGGTGGTCCATACAAAATCCTGGAACTTAACACTAGCGTTACAAAAAAGACATGTTATGTCAATAACTAATATATATGCTTCTTTTTCTCGTTGGTTTAATTATAACGTAAAATGGAAATCTACCAAACTTGTAGTTTTTTCTATACTGTTTCAATATGGCACTTTGACATATCAATCCATCCTTATGTTATCTTTCTCTCATATCTGAGCAACTTATGCCCAACAAACATCGTATTGAAGGGGGTTTTGGTGAACAAAAACGCAGGCCCCACGCACTCGAACGTCTGCCCTCCTGAATGCTAGACCGTGTGCCTAGCCATTAGACCACATCAAAGCACGGGGGAATGACTGCAATTTTTCCTTTTACCGATTAATCATTCATAATACTAATGAGTAATAGGACTTACACACTTCTAAGGTGCAGACGAATTCGTTACTTGGATGAATTGACGAAATATTGCTTCAATATATCATACATACTTAGATCAAACCAGAAAAGAGTATTTGACACAACTGTACTTGATCCTCATACTCTACACAATTTTCTCCTCTTTAACCGTATATTCTCTTCCGTTTTATGGAGTAAAATTATGCACCCTTGGTTACGTACCTGGTTATAAAAGGCGGTCGTCATAGGCCCAAGGTCATACATTTGATCGGGTTTGACAATGAGTCCAACTTCTAGCAAGTTTACACTTTTACATATATGCATTATAAAAAAGTATTTTTTTTGTTTTCATACCTTTTCGTACACAAGATGGCTACACTATGTCTATTTCCTTCCAAAATACCAATCCTTTCTGGATGACAAACACTTACGTGGAACCGAAAAATTATCAATTATATTTATGTATTTCCATTTTGTATCTTATTATTTTTATGCAGGCAGTAGAGCAGTTCTTCAGGTTTGATTGGTTTTCACCATTACCTTTGAAGTAGATTCTTCTTTACTTTTTATTTGAGGGCGACTCAAGAGGCAGGTGAGTAAACACATGATAGCCGATCTGAGCATGGAAAAATCGTACCTCACCAACAAGGTGTTGGGTAGCCCGCTCGCGGCACTTCCTCAGATATTCTTATTCCACATTCTCACACTCTTTCTCTTGAAAGCACGCAGCAAACCTTCAGCGATAGTTGTAGAAGAAATCACATGCTACAAAATAAGATGACAAGCTGGTAAATGAAGAGACATCCATGGACCATCGTTGACAGCTGACAGCGTTAGTCGTCACTGATTGTAAGTCAAACAGTGAGCGAGTTGATAATTTTCCCTTGGGATGAGAAATAGAACCAAGGTGTTTTCGAAAGATAGGTTAATCGAACGGACGTTCCTACGGAAGTCGATTCTAGGGGGAAGCTAATGTAACAGCTTAGGTTGGTTGGTTAAGAGTTGACCCCAAACAACCAAGCATATGCCAAAACAGTATTGTTCAAGTATTCATTCACTTCCTTATTTTGTATAAGCGTTATATTCCCTATTATCTTATATTAAATGTTGAGAGCCCCTGTTTGTCTGAACAGTTAATTCCACGCTCCACTGTGACTGCGCGAAGATCGAAATAAAGACCTATTCACTACTTGTCTGGTTTCTTCTATCAATAGCACGAGGGTTACCTTAAGGCACGAAAATCTTATAGTCATGATGTGGTGTACAACACTAGTGACTATGCGTGATAATTTTAGTCAAAGTTGACACACTTCAGAGTACTCGTTCAGCATCCGTTGGAGGTATATATCACTTTTTATTCTTAACCGTAAATGGATACAGCCTTTTACCAGAAAATGAAGCTCCACATATAGACAAATTGGTATTTCCATCCAGTAACCTCCGCTTTCCTGGGTCAATGAGTAGATTATGTTGTTGTAGCAGGTTCACACCGATGTTTGACATAGAAACACTTGCAACAACGAAAATTAGGTGAATGAGTTTGCGTAAATTCACGTCAACATAAATGTCTCTTACCATATGTGGCGAACGGTTTTCCATTTGCCGCCTGTAGGTTGAAGACCGGCTCTTGCAAACGGTCATTAGAATCCTGCGTCAATGTAAACGAGATACAGAACTTTCGTCACCATATCGGTGATGTATAAGAGACGACTGTTTCCGCCGGCTACAGTTGCAGTAAACGCGTCTCGGTGGGGATGTTTTTCGAAAGATTATTAATGTTAGACAGATTTACAATTGAGAAACCGATGGATTTTCTGAAATTCCAAGATGACGTACCATACGTTTTTGCGGTACCGACATTAATCAGGGTTGCCTGACTCTCGTAGTATAGGGAGACTTTTCCTTATAGTATAAACTGTTGTGACTTTATGTTAGGCTAGTTATAAAGTTTTCTATCCGTCAATCGAAATACGGCGTATTCACTCTTGTACTTTACTAAAAAAATGACGTTCGAGCGGTCTGATAACCTATCATACTTATTGATCCTTTGCTCCCCAAGCCTGTCCAGTTTAGTCCAAAACACCAACAACAGCTTCCGCTATGCGAATCATTTATTTCAGACATACTTGGTTTATATACTAGCCAAACAGATCGCATCGCATCATAAAATAGGAAGTAAAATCTATGCACGATAAAGCTGAAAGTGGCTTTGAACGTGGGAGATGGTAACCAATAAACTGAGTATAATTTAAGGACAGTGAATCGTACAATAATTAATCTATAGGTGAAAACAAAGCTTATAATAAGATGAACATAAATATACACAATCTAGTAACTGAATAGTTATACAGTTAGAATATATTGGTAATATTAGTCCACTAATGGTTACTCGTAATTCAATCTTCGCTAGGATATAACACCTCCCTCTTTTTTGAAGATCCAGAGTTTAGATCCTGATTTTAAAAAGCTTGTCTGTAACTTAAAATTCACCAAAGTCATATATATATATATATATATATATATATATATATATATATATATATATATATATATATATATATATATATATATAACAAATACCACAGTTCTGGGGGTCCTGATAGTCTCCTGAATCCGGTCGGCAGATATATTCAGTTCGTTTACGTCGTTATTGTAGAGTGAGACAAGAACCGCGTGCACTTCTTGGGGAAGCTTGGACAACAAGAGCTGTCTGAAAAGGCTCTAGGCAAAGGTTCGTCGACAAATGGCCTCTCTCATACGTAGCGTTATTTGTTGCTGAGCTGTGTTGGGACTCTACGTTGTAGGAGAGGTCACCTAATATTTGTCGGTCGGTTCATACCCGACGTCTGAAGATAACCTCCTTTGAAGTGTCGAAAGGTTCAGAAATCACCAATAAACATAGTAAGTGGGACGTATTAAATAAAATCGCTCGTTAGCGCCTTCACAACTGCACGTGATCATGTGAGTCTGTTGCGCCTTACCCATGAAAGTCAGCTTCTACGTAGCAGGAGACATAATATACAAATGGGAGAAAAACATTCGAAAATACAAAACCAATTATTTAAAAATATTAAAAAATAATATACTGAGTTACAGCAAGGAAAGAACTAACAGTATATTGCTTGGCGTTCCAGACCACGCCGGGCTCATTACTAAAGATGCCACAAGTATTCAGATTTCGACGACTTTACACGTAATATCTTCGCAACCAAACTATACCAATCCAGGCAAATCAGAAGTTGAAAATCAATGGGTTCTAAGATGAATTTGGAGGGCTATTGACATTTTGAGATTGTCTATTAATTGTAAGGGATACGTAGCACAGCATACCCACTAGTAACCTGGTGAGGACGTGTGATTGAGAGCCTTCAGCTATTTGTGTCCAGTAAAACTAACGAAGTCGGAATTAATGTCAAAGACTCACAAAATTATCTATTTCTTCTAATCATTTGCCGCTACAACCCCTAGGACCCACTTCCACAGCCTTGAGGACGGTCTAGTACTTAACATGGAACCCTGAATGATCTAACACTTCTTTGCAGAAAAAAAATAATTTAATTTCGTGAGGAACTAAAAATGTTTTTGCTTTATTCTGATGAATGTTCCCATATTTATTCCTAAGCTTATTGGCGGTGCTTGAAAAGTAGTTTTACGAATGTATGGGTACAAGTAGTTTGTGAGTGTTCCTGAATATACTACAATTTCCTGTTGCCATTTCGCTATAGGTACCTAAGAATGATCATTGTTTTTCATAATATTTCTGTAGGGAGCCATGGAGCTTAATGGGATATATAGCCAATCATTTGATGAGCAAGTGCCTAATGGGTCTCATAGTACGGGATCTGGAAGCGCAACTCAAGATCCAGGTTTGTCCCTACTTAGCAATTTTTCTGTGATTCATATTGTATCCCCACTGGTCAGTATACTAAAAGCAGTACAAAGATATGAACCACCCAAAGGTAGAGTTGTGGATGTGTTCCTCCCTTTATGCGACCTAGTTTTTTCTTCAATCAGCTTGATGATAACGACTACTAAATCATTTCTTATTCTAAGTGTGTACTTCGTTCAAATAGGCATTCTGTCTCCCAATGTTTGGACACGACTTAACTTCAAATGCAGTCTGAATACTAAAATGTTTACATACTTTGAAGCCTATTAGTCGGAGGGATCATTAGTTTTCGGTTTAAATTCACCATGCACTTGAGACCATCAATCAGAGGTTTGTAAACACGACTAAAGGTGACGGGTCATCTTGTCTGAGCCACAGCTAATCTAACTTCGAAGAATGGATTGAATATATGTCTCTGCGTGTCTGCTATCAAAGAAAATTTAATAACGTAAGCAAGGTTTTAAGTTTGAATCCTCATGGAAAACAAACTACAGCAGGACTGCTACCGACCTTGACTCGGTCGTTTTTAATGTATTTGTAGGGTTTCTACGACTGCATGTGGAAAGTCATGATTCGACAGCTTTTCGTGTGGAACTACGATCGTTCATCACACTCCACCATGTCAGACTGACAGCCCATCCTCCTCACAGTCATTATCAAGAAAAGCTTGCATACCGAAAGGCGTCAAATGTCCTATATTTAGAGTTGTAGGCCATAGGGCAGGACTACCATCACTGCCGAGTTGTGCACCTCAGATTAGTTCAGTAACGATGATTTATACTAATAAATTGGGCCTCTACCACTCGTACATAAGCAAATTCTGTTTCGATGGCCTAGAATCCATCGTTCATGCACAAACTTTACTTACCGAGTGACGGGGATTTCAGTAGTTTGTTTGTTGTATTACTGTCTACTCAAAGTTGGAAAGCTTTTTTCGAGATAATGGGTACTCATCTCCATGACACACTTCCTCCAGATCTTGTCTGAAATTGTCATTTATAATTACCTAAGAAAGATGTGCTTTTGCATCTAGTTCAGCCTATGGTTCAGAACAGCTAGTGTATGACCTTGTTATATATGAATTGCTATTGTAAAGAGCTTTCACGATTTCATATGAGTTTCTCAATGCTTCCCTAGCACAGTTCCAGAATACCGTATTGCCTTGCAAATCAAAGACAAATGTTTATCAAGAGATATTTAATCTTACCCCTGAAGGGAGATAAAACTTGAGAAATTCTGTCAAAGACGTCTTTAGAGCAAGGCTAGATAAATGGACACCAACAAGTTACGGACACCAATGTTGAAAATAGTTCCGAAGAAGGAACGTTGTTTATTCACTTGAGTTCCATACTGGTTTACTATCAGTTTTATTACTTCAACTTAATTTGGATTTCAGACATACTGTCTCATGTCCGTTCGTGTATTTTTGTGATGCACTAAATTCTCTTTTGCGTGCTCCTGGAAAGTGCCACAGCTTAGTCCTGTTATTCTCAGTTTTCTGTTGCAGATTTGTTGTGTAACAGCTTAGAACCGATACAAATGTATATTGAGTACTGCATTGTGCATAGATGGTACTGTCTAGTATGATTACCTTTTCTACCGCTCCATTTTACCAAAACAGAGCTCACTAGACCAAATAGCGCTGATAGCTCCCAACATTACCACGCTCCTTCAAATCAAAGTTCAAGTGCTTCACTGTCAATAGAAGAACGACTCAGGCGCGTTAGAGCCGCTGAACAACTTAAACAGCAGCAACGTTACGCAGCCTACGTAGAAGCCCAACAACAAGCCGAAATGGCACGTATGCGCCAACAAGAGGAAAGAAAGCGCAGAATTGAAGAAATGCGACAAAAGGAACAAATGCGCCGACTTAGTGCACTAGAACGACGTGCAGCCTTGGAATTATCTAATCAAGTAGGCTTTTCCTAATTATTACCTTGTTAATTTCTCTCAGTAGTTTAACATCTAATAAGGTATTTGGGTGGTGGGCTTTATGTCCAAATATCTCCTGTTCTAGTTAGATTGTAGTCAGAAAGCGACTAACCTACAAAATTAACTTTTTGCATTTCCCAATGGTGTCTGGTCATCCTTATTTTACTACTAGTAGTGCGTATATAAGTATATCACTTTACTAGAAATCATCTGGCAAGTGATCGTTTTTGATATCAAATCACTCAGGATTTCGAGTCAATGATTCTGTTCCATCAGCAGCCATCACACGATCACATAATCTCATTGCATTTCATCTATCGATAGGCATTCCATTCTAACAGTCCGAAAACCGTTTACTATTTATTTTAAAACCCTCCGTGATGGGAACCATCAGCTGCTTTTCCTCTGCCAAGTTCCACTGATATTTCTACCTATAAATAACATTTCTATAGATATGTTACAAGTATAAGTTGTGCTAGTTTCATCCCACTATCTTGATCTGGTGTGAGAACCAGCTATTACATATTTGCTTCAAACTGGCTTGATTATGACTTGCTGTATACCATGAATCCCAATGCAGGATTCGTTCTTTCGCACTTTTTACTTTATCGTTTGCCAATAAACGGACTATTTTCACAATAATTCTCATCTCATATTTGTTATCAGTTCTTAGTATTTAGTTTTCCTCTAGTGGAAATTTGTAATGAAAATGACATCTAAGTTATTTTTCCCCATGATCTAATTTCACTAAACACAGGGTAGTGTGTTCGATTTAGTGTTTGAGGGCTAGTGATACTATTCAAGTGCGCGAACGAAAGTATGTGAAAAAGGGCTTTCTTGATATTTTTCGTTTTCTACGTGTTACTTATATTAGTGTTAGACAGACTTCAGTTAATCCTGTCACTAGACTATTTTCGATTTTACAATAACATGCATTTATGGTTTAAAAATGCTGCAGAAACTGCGTGTCGAAATTTCGATTTGTGTTGACGCTTTAAATGAGCTTCTAATATCAGTCAATCAGTTAGTAACAACGTAGAACTTCGTACGTACGTATATCAGTTCGAGTTGCCATACAGAGATGCAGTTGTCGATTCAAATCCCGTAGTTATGGAAGTAGTAAAATTATATGCAGTAATCGGAAAGATTAAGACTTGAAGATGTTATTCAAGGAGTATAATCCAGTGAAATAAATTTAGAAAGGGACACGAAGAGTCCAGAAGATCAGAATTTGGGAGAACACAAGGAGTGATGCACCTGCGCCATTGCAAACGGTTTTGAGCCATGTCATTCAAGGTCTCTAACCATCGGTTGCTGTTGTCTCGCGGATCCCAACCAGGTATTCTACACCTACAGTCATGGCTCAGTCCACTTGTCTGTGACTTCATGGATTTGTGCCATGTTCTGGTCTGGCCGCCCCTAGCATTCTTCCAACCTACTCCTATACCATTGAACATCGCACGTCGAGGCAGTCGATGGTTAGGCATACGTAACACGTGTCCCAACCATCTGAACTGATGAATTTTCACTACTTCATCAATCGATTTGCCATCCTTACCTAGTACCCGTTTTCTAACAACTGCGTTACTTATTCGATAGTCCCAGGATATACGAGCAATGTTTCGAAGACACCTATGATCAAATAATAGTAACCTACGAATGTCTTCTACTCTTACTGGTCATGTTTCACTGTCATAAAGTAGGACGGAACGAACTGCTGCGCAGTAAACCCGTCCTTTGGTTGATAGACAGATATCTCGCCTACACCATAAATAACGCAAGTTGGCAAGAGCTAGTCGAGCCTTCTGTATCCGTGCTGAAATTTTGTCACACACCAGACCACAAGGGCTGATGAGACTTCTGAGATAAGTGAAGCTGTCGACACGCTCAACTACTTCACTCCCTATCATTAGTTGGGGTGTCGGTGCAACCCAATCCTGAAGAAACATTTTGCATTTCGAGGGGAGAATCGCATGCCGAACATGGTTGGATTGTTGCTTATAGTGGTCAGAAGATTGCATTTTGTCAGTGCCTTCACCAAATAGAACTATGTCATCAGCGTATTCTAAGTCAACAAGTGAATCTCCCGGTAAAAGTTCAACTCCTGGAAATTTAGATGGAGAAAATGTTGTCTCTGAAAGCACGTCAACGACAAAGTCATACAAGAATAGAGAGAGTGGACAGTCCTGACGAACACTACTGGAGGTAATCAATTCTGATGACAGTTCGTCATAAGCTCTTACTCGGCCAGTTGTGTTTGAGTAGAGAGCCTTTACAAGGTTAATGTACTTCTTTGGTACTCCTTACAGTGACAAACACTGCCACAGAACCTCACGATCAACAGAGTCATATGCCGCCTTGAGGTTGAGAAATATTACTATTGTGGGGCGTCTGGATGTGTGTCTATGTTCTAGGACCTGACGTGGTGTGAATATCTTGTCTATACAACCACATCCAGGTTGAAAATCAGTCTGGTTTTCTCTAGTCTGCTCTTCGCGAGGTTTAGTTAGGCGTCGAAGTATTATTGAGGCTAATATTTTAGACACTGTGTTAGTCAAACTGATTCCTCTGTGATTGTCACAAGAGGACTTTTCTCCTTTCTTATAGACTGGCACAATCAGTGATTGAGACCAGTCAGATGGGATTACGTCCAGTTCCCAAATTCTACCTAAGACCTCAGTCAATCTCACTGCTAATACTGGACCACCATCCATAAAAATCTCAGGAGTAAACCTGTCAGGGCCTGCTGCTCTTCCTCGTTTCAGGTTTCCTATAACTCACTCAACTTCATAAAGAGTCGGAGAACCTGCATTAGCTTGCCATTCTGGTCGACTGGAGATCGTGGAAAACTGAAGTGTGGCTGAAGGCCAGTTGAACTGATCCCCAAAGTGTTCTGCCCATCAATCCAATCTCCTGGATTGAGAATGTATAATATGTCAATCTTCCTCTGAGATTGTTTCGCTAACAGTCGGTTTCCTAATACCAGTTTGCTTAACAAGTTTGAACAGTTGTCTGCTGTTACCTATTGCCGCTGCCTTTCCCATCTCTTGCTTTCGCTACCCACCACTGTTCACGATCATTGCGTAGGCTTCTTGTCAGCTTGCGCTTAAGCTGACTCTGCTCTTCGTTATGTTCAGAGCCAGATGGGATGAGTTTTCGAGCATCTATCAGTGCGGTAGATGCTGCTGAGATCCAGTGTTTCTCCCTAACTTGTGGTTAACCGTACTAGCAGATATCACTGCTGTTTCCACAGCTTTTCGAATATCATTCCACGCTGTTTCGGGGTATGCATCACATAAATGGCTGCCTAACTGTTTTTTTCTAGTTGTTCCTGAAATATATTCTTAGCTTGGCTATCAATAAGTAGGACCCTACGAGGCTTCCTTGCAGCGTCTTTCCTACGTCCAGTGGGACACAGACAAATACGCGCTCGCACTAGAGCATGATCTGAATCTAAGCATGTACTCCAGAACGAGCGACAGTCTTCTATCGAGCCTCTCCATCGATAGCTGATAGCGATGTGATCTATTTGGGTCCAATGTTGGGACGAATTAGGGGGCCGCCATGTCAAAAGATGTTTTTCCTTATGCTTAAATATAGTATTTGCAAGAAACAGGCTGTTATCTGAGCATAGCTGCAATAGACGGTCGCCATTATCTGTTCTTTGAGCCACGACACTATAAGATCCACTCAGGTGTCCTTCCCCTTCTCCTAGTTTACCTACTTGAGCATTAAAGTCACCAGCCGCTATCACTACACCAGAATGCCTAGCTTTTCGGAGGTCGAAAAGCTTTCTGTAAAACTCATCTTTTACATCATCTGAGCTGCAGTCAGTGGGAGAGTAGGCAGAGACGACGAAGAGGCAACGACGAGTGTCGCTATCTTTCCGAGTCCTCACTGTCCCGTTTAGTCGGTCAGCGCACAAACGTCTGTCTACTGGGATGCAGTTTAGGAGAGCTAGTTCTGTTCTGGGACTCAATGCTATACTTACGCCGGCGAGGCCACAGGAAGCAGCATCAGGGCTTCCAGATACACGAAGTATGAATCTAGGTGGTTCTTTGTTTTGATATGGTGATGTCAAATGAATGATACTACTCGGATCCTGTATGCGCGTTTCGGAGACGCAACATACACGGATGGCGCGAGATTCTAAAGTCGTAACTAAGGAAGTCTGTTGTCCTATTTGTCACAGTGTTTGAACGTTGAAAGCTCCTACATGTAGTTTGGAGTGTGGTTACAGGAGACCAGGAATAAAGTTCTGCGTTGTCGAATCGTTTGCACTAGCGGTGTGACGTGATGAATGGACGTGAGAAGGGTTATTAGGATGTGTGGGGAAGATTTGAATGTGACCGACTTGGTCTCTTGTGATGTTACGAGTATGATGGCTGATATCACTACCCGGTTGCTCACACCGTGGAAGGGTATTTCTTGAGGAACCTGTAAAAGAAGTCGGATAAGTGTTGGTCTTGACGACCTGGGAGCGTGACCGCAGAGCCCAAAGGACAACTTGAGGGCGGTCGCGCACGGCCATACCGTGGGAGTATTTTTATTGTGTTAGCTCCGTTCTTTAAAGGGCCTTATTGCCGGAGACGGAAATCCGTGAGTTAAGGTGAGGTGTGGCACTTTTAGAGTGGACCTTTTCTAACCCCTTCCTTCCTTGTGAGAAGGCAGCATCGCTGCAGTTTCTGGTTGTCCGAGGGAAACACCTTACTGCTGTCATACTCTTCTACAGTCAGCAGTACGACTTCGCCCTCAGACCTTGAGTTACTGCTTTTAGTCTAACCGTTCTCCAATCGACCTGCCTAGCATGGTAGAACCTGCAGGAACATATGTTCCAGTCAATATAGTTCGGTTGGGTCATCACGATAGGCAAGCCCGACCATCACGTTAAGGTAGCAGCTACGGTCGGGGCTTCTAATATAAGCTACTTCCGATTATATTTTTTCGAATAAAGTAACTACTTATAGGAGAAAGTTTAGTCGAAAATACACGTTTATATATTGATTCATACACCCATTTTCATTAATAATTAGAATAAAATAACATATATGAAAAATAATTAGTTATAACAAATCATATGCTGAATGTAGTTTATGTTAACTTAATACAAGAATATCGTGTGTTATACATAATAAAATGTTATACGGGGAAACAAAACAAATACTACATTGAATAACCATTACATTGATTTAAAATGGAAGTAATGTTGAACAGAAACCATAATGAGTAAATCAATATAATTTCAACTTTTCGTCCCGTCATTATCATCCACCTATTTTCGCGTTTAAGACAAAAGATAAATTTAATTTCATCACGTTATTTAAGTCAAGCAAAAGTAATCTAATTAAAGCGTAATTATTAAGTAGAAATTATTGCTTCGCTTTGGTTTGAGAAGTATTTCAGATAGATTCAGAGTATCTTTTGTGTTTTCACCGGACATACGAGTTTTATGTTTAGTTTCTCCACTCCTTCGTACAATTTTCGAAGGATTTTTGATATCTTTTCAAGTTTATCCGAATCCTCTCATAATCTTTCTTATTGCCACAAACTCATTTTTTAAAAAATCTCTTTTCAGGCACGGATAGAACGACTTCGAGAACGGTCGGCTAACCGTTCAGGAAACAATACGTTTCGCCGCCAGTTTGCAGAACATGATCACTCTGGCCGTACTGCAAGTGCTTCTCCTTCTTTGGGAACCTCGCGAAATCCGAGTACTCTTATGACAACTTCGTGTGTGGTCGCCTTTGGAAGCAGCGCTCCGCGCTCTATATGTACGCAACCAAGTGCAGCAGCTTTACGTTTGAAACAGGCTTTTGAAGCGCGATTAGCTAGCTACCTTACCGGTCGACATAGTGGGTGCTTTTTTACAGCAGCTGCAGCACCTTATTATTCGTGCTTTATAGATACATCACATGGACCTCGGCCTCAAATCTCTGTGTATAAATCGAGGCCCTGTAATCGAGGTGTAACGCAGTCTAGGCGAGCTGCTTCAGCTCATGCCTCTGTTTTGCGTCATACTAAGTCTTCATTCACTCGGGTTACTCATGCTCGACGTCAACAAAATTCTCTTACTAACAGAGACACTGTTTTCAAAAATGGTCAACCTATCAGCACTAAAGTCTTGAAATCCCCAAACACTACCACAGTTCCTGATGGGCACAATGTCGAGAGTAATCGAACCAGTGAAGGTTTGTCTGCATCCCTATCGTGCCTGCTACCCCCGCATACGAAAACGTTGTTTTCTCTGAAACGGAGTATCATATGTCATGCATGCCGATTCTTATATCTCTCATATATGCTTTTATATATGTTCAGCTTTCATTCATTCATACGGTGAAGCTTCTCTCATACTTTTATTCGGGTTTTCTCAAGCTAATTATACTTGCATGCTACTCTTTAAACGTAGATATTTACACTAATGTAGTCTAAAATGTAATTTTATTATTTTGGTAGGATAGAAAGTTAATTTATCATTTCGCCACCATATAATACTCAGCATTCTCAATAAACTGGTGATTAACTTTTTGTCGCTTGTTTAGTGCACTCACGATTTATCTTAATCCGCATTTTAACTTTCTGTTCTGGAGTTTTTTAAACATGCATCCGTGTGTTTACAAAATTAACTTGAATCAATTTAACCAGGATCTTTCTTGTAGTATTTCAATATTATTTGTTGCAAAAGCTATCATGCTATTTGAATATTCTTGTCTTATTATAAATTTATTATCCTTTATTTAAAATATCTCCGAATTAAAAGAGTTATTCAGTGTAAGTTTTAAAGACTAATCATGGTTGTTGGCTTCCTAAATTTACGTTTCACATTGATTACCCAGTTATCTTTATGCATACGTTAAGTCTTTTATAGTGAGGCTGTTGTATTTAATAATAATGAACATGGATAATAGTTTGCTTTCAATGTTTTAGTGTTGTTTGCAAGTTGACAGTTTAGTTATTGTAATGCCTAAATGCCCTGGTACGGCCGAGAGTAGTGAGAGTACGCTCTCCCTCTCGAAATGCTCTCATATGGCCACGCGTATATATCCTATACCAGGGAAGTCCTACTCACTGCCTTCTCGTGGGGGGGATGTTGTTTAAAGAATTGAGAGGAAGAAAAGCGGATGTCCGGCATTTTAGCCGGGTTGGTGGACACTGAGAGTCCACCTATTTTATTTTATTTGAACACATATATATTGGTACAGGAGTGCGCCAAATATATATGCGCCACACAATTCCAGTTCATTAGTTGCGTGTGGGCTGCGATACTGCCCGGGTGCCCAGACCGAAGCAGGTGGTTATCTTAGGGGGCCACTCCCCGAGCCTTTGACCTAAAGATCTGACCCACAAGGCAGTGGAGCATCGTAAGGAGATGCAGTCCCATGGTAGCCGGTGACCGAAAATTGGTTCATACGCCATTTGTTCCCGCAGGATACTGGTGCCCATGTGCACCATAGATTTGGAATCAGGTTAAAGCGCCGGACATTCGCTTTTCGTCCTCTCATTTTCGTAAACAACACTAATGCCACGAGAAGGCAGTGAGTAGGACTTCCCTGGTAGAGGCTATATACGCGTGGCCATGTGAGAGCATTTCGAGAGGGAGGGCAAACCCACCCCGCTCTCGGCCATACCAGGGCAGTTGGAAAACCCTGATTCCAAACCAATGGTGCACATGGGCTCCAGCATCCTGAGGAAACAAATGGCGTATGAACCAATCGTTGGTCACCGGCTACCATGGGACTGCATCTCCTTACGATGCTCCACTGCCTTGTGGATCAGACCTTCAGGTCGAAGGCTCCGGGCGTGACACCCTAGGAAATCCACCTGCTTCGGCTTGGGCATCCGGGCAGTATCCCAGCCATCACACAAATCAAATGAGATTTGTGTGGCGCATATGTAACTGGTGCCCCCTCGTACCAGTAATTATGTGTTCAAATAAATAAAATAAATCCCTACAAAGTAAACTAAGTAACTAATTACTGCTCCATCATAAAATAGGATTGTCAATGTGATAAGTAGACTTCAAGTTATAGATATGTTATAAATGAACTGTCATAAATCTGTGGTTTTTAATGTAGCAACCACTGAATCGAAAGACAATAAGTTTAAGTTAAATGTGCCTTAGCTTCACATGTATACCATTAAGTTTGTGTATATTTCTTCTAGCATCTCGTTATCAATTTTGTTCGCTTTCTGATGTGTTCACATGTATATGAGTGCGAGTAAATACGGTTATTTTTCTAGCTTTCATTGAATTTGCTTAAAACTCATTAATTAAACTATAATACATTGCTTTTCATATTTATTTTCGGTGTCTGTCATATCACATCCTGTGATTAGTTGAAAGTGTTATATAAATCAGTAATGTGGTAATCTGTCTGCCTGTTTATTCATGAAAAAGCAATCTGTTTGTATCTTCATGTTGTACTGTTATTTGCTACCTAATTGATTTATTTTTATCTTTTTGGTTTAGATGTATTCAAATCTTTTGATAAGTTTAGTTTGTAGCTTACTAATTTATCGTAAATATATGGGATTGAGTTAGCCATGTTGACAGTTTAGCAGTGAATAGAGATATTAGTGGTTTTGTATTTGTAGTTTTTGGTGTTGCTGATCACTTATTAAAAACAACGTATCACACACGGAATTTCGTAGTTCATAGTCTTTCAACTCTATCAATAACTTATTCGTCAGTTGTCAAGTAAATCAGCTCAATGTTTGATCATTTTTACATGATTACCTCACGTCTTAATTGGGGTCTAACAGTACTCAACTCATATTTTATTTAGAATCAGGATTACAGAGTTTAAGCAACATTTGTGTGTATTGTAATTAGTGTATAGTGCATTTCCAAATATGTTTTATTCGGTGTACTCGTCGTTTTCATCACCTCAGCTTATTTCATCAAATCAGTCTGGTCACTTTATCCATTCATCGTGAAAATAATCTCTTAATTAAATCATCGTAGGTGCTTTAATTGCATGCCGATTTTTGTCATCATACATATGTTTTTTTAAACTCCTAAATGCTCTACCACTTTTAATTTTAGTAATTTCAAGTCGATCTAATTCATCCAACGAATGTGATAAAATTGGGCGTCTTAATCATCATCCCAAAGTGCCAAAACATATTACTGCACCCGCAAATACATCGAAAACGAAAGAACATACAGGTAAAATATCGCTTTCATGTTTGTGATGTTATTACTATACTCATTTTTCTCATTTCCCTCATTAATTCTTGACCAAAAACTCATCTCTCTGACACCATTCTTGGAAAAAATACGCTTATACTCAAACATGTCTTTGTTCAAAACATACTGATAGCTTTTAATATCTGTAAACGTTTTAAGTTCCGTGGTGTTTATAATCGACTTTTTTTGGATTACGAGCTCTCTTAATAGATTTCTAAGCACTAGTGTAGTTGCGTTCTCAAATCTCATTTCTATTTGATGATGCACAGAAAGACAATGAAAACTTCATACTTAAATCATCCAGCTCAGAGATTGAAATTCCTCCAAAACCACTCATTTGAGTCACAAATCTTCCCCATCATCTCTAGATATTCCCTCGATTAAAAAGTGGATATTTTGAAGATGGTTATCAGTGGAATTTACTCTTTTTGGGCAAATCAGGAAAAAAGGTTGGTACATTTAACTAATGAGTCTTAAATAGGACAGCATTCTCATCCTAGATTCTAATGTTAGCTGTTATCCAAACTATTTACTATCTTGATATCTCTCATCGTTCCTATTGAACGTGTACTCTGTAGTTTTAATTACTTGGGTTATTCTATATTTTGAACTTTATATGTCAGAATTAGTACCCACGGAACATTTAACAACCTTTACAGTTTTTCTCATTCTCGTCTTTGACTTGTTTACTAGCTCTACTTTAAATTTGTCAGAGTAATTTCTCGTGGAATCAGTTACACTAACTCATTTACATTCATTAATTAGCCATAGATGAATAGTCATCCACCATAGAGAATGAACAGTTGTCGTGAGCTATCATGAATTGTTTGAAGTTAGACATTACACCATTGTGTGACGGCTCAATGGTCTAAAGGTTAGGCGTCTGCGTGTGAGACTTACTGTCTTTTATTCGATTCTTTGCGGTGGGATTGTGGATCCCCACTGTTGATGAGTCCTGTCCTAAGACAAAACAGGTGTTTATCGCTCCCAGGTTTCCCGTGGTAGTCTATCTAAAATCAGTTCGTAATTTAAATTATGAAAACCCCCTTGTCGTAAAAATAGATCAGAGTGACGATTATCTCCAGAGTTCGTTTGTCTCTAGATTTTCTAGTAGAATCTGTTTTCAGTAATCTTCATATTCATGAAATTGTTACTGAATTGTAATCAAATCACAAAATTTACCTTAACGGTATGAAATTCTGTGATCATGATATTTGTAATGATTTATGGAAAAGTGATCTACTTCCTTAACTTTTTCAAATTTGACCAAGTGTTCAGTTGTATTTCGAAATTATTCTAAATGATCATTTATGTGAAAAGTTCGATGTTGTTGTTGCTGTAAAGAAACAACTCATACAATGTTATTCAAAATAATGAATTGAAAATTCGCTTAAATTTTCCAGGTCGGTGACACGTTGTTACATCTGATTTATTCAATAGCGAATTTTACACCAAACGTCTTAGATGTTTTTTTCTTCAATATTCTGTTGATGTTTTATATTCTCAATGACTTCATTTAGTTAAGTGTGCATCCTAAATGGTTTGTGTTGTGATTTTTTTTCTTTTTCAACATTTTTATGATAAATAAAAGGGACTTAGTTTGAACACAATTTACTTTTCAATTTGAATCTATACCATTTAGTTTTCACTTAGTTTCATTTACGAATACTGTAGTGACACGATAGCTGACATTCTCCAGAGTACAATATTCAGTTAATTGATGAATATTTTTACCGTGAGATCATTTGTATATAGTTTTTAGTTGTTTAACAATATATCATAGGACAATTTTAAGCTAAATAACATTTAACTGAGTCACTTAGGAGAAAATAGCTCATTTTGGTGTTCTCGTGTAATTGATTAAGTTTTGTGTTAATTCATTAATCGAAATCTCATTTGGCATATTGCTTCATCTTTTCCTTCAAAGAATAAGCCGATTATTTAAGATAATCAACTGTGATTTTACTACTTGTGATTTTTCTAAATCAAGGAAATTCTATGAATATCAATACCTAATCTCATCTGTTATAGCTAAGTTGGAAAATATGGTCCCACCTTCAGATTCCACTAGTTCTACACGTTCCAACTCTATTGAGAGACGATCTAGACAACCAACTATTTCTGTATTCGAACGTTTAACAATGTCTCGTTCTGTCACTACTTCTGGAAACGTTACGACAAATAAAGCAAGACCTGTCCATTCGTCTGCTAGTACTGTGCATGTGGCAAAAAGACCCGGTGAGTTTGCTTGTAATATGAACCTGAGGCTTACAAATATGATTTTTACTCTAAGACAGCTTTTTATTTAGACTACATCCATTTTGATTGTTCTATTTTAAATCCACTGGAAGTTTGTAGTTAAAACTCAATGTAACATACTAAAATACAGATACTTTGGCACTATATGTTGTCTAAAAAAGTGTAAAATGATCATATTGCTTCATGAGTTTAATATGTAACCCAAACCGATGCGACTTTGTCAACTTTATTCTGATTCCCAACTTAAAGTCACCTCACAGCAATGCTTCTCTGTTTCAACCTTGTCGCACTGTCTTTTCAGTTCTAATGGTATATAAAGAGCTATGAGAGTGTCAGTGTCACAGTTTAGGTGTTTTTCTCAGTAGCAATTCATTATGGAATTACAAAATGTCGATTTAGTTACTTTTCAAAATGTTTGTCTATTCACTTAATTTCATGCTATACATCACTAATTTGGCTTTCTTGATAAGAGATTTACAGTTCACCAACTTTTTCAGATCAGTAGTTGTCTTGATAAGTTAAACTGTGATTCCATTGTACCATGCTTCTCATGTATTGTATGAAGTTCAGTAAATAAAACATGATTAGTAAGTTATAAAATCTCATATTTTTTCGCTCGTTATTTTCTACCATGTGAATGCAATTTTTACACATGATTTTTTACGTAAATAAAATAAAGATTTTTATAGAAGCATTATAATGAACCACGTTACTTAATCACATAACCATATAATAATCGATTTAAATGAGTTAGTGGACTTTTTTTCTTCGTTAAAATACTTCTGGATTACAGAGAACATGTGTACATTGTACATAGCAAATACGTAAAACTACGTGGAAGAATAAATAATTGATACAAAAAAAACTCACGAAACAGCACTTGAATTATCTACGACGAAATATGACGACAACGAGGTAAAATTAGTCAATGTAAAATCAAACATGATCAACATTCTCAGATAATTTGAACTCAATCCTTCTCACAAGATGAGAAAAATTAAAAGGATAATGATCACTTTCTATGGACAAGAAACTATATAACAAAGCAAAGCGCAATTTAAAAAAAAACTTACCTCAGAAAGAGACATGTGTGTGTGTGTGTGAACACACTGTATACAAACTTGTTCGTATTCACTTTTATCGTATGTGTCCTGTCTTTTTCAATTCACCGGCTTGGTGTACGTAGAATACATAAACATCACCACCACCTAACAAGTATTTAGTTTTAGTATAGAGGATCATGAATTGATCTTAGTTGGGCAACTTATTGGGAACCTGGAGCACTAAACAGCTGTTCGTTCCAGTATGAAACTTGGGAGTGAGCATCTGACCTTGCATCTGAAAATAAACCCAAGACTTTCGGTCTCGCCTGCGAACTACTAACCTAATCCACAATTCTGAGAAGTCCCATACTAGGACAAACTGCGTCCAGTGCTTTCAGGTATTCAGTGGTGGTCTATCTAAGACCAGTTCGTGATTTAAACTTTGTAAGTACTTATAGTTTTTTCATCGCTTTCCGTCATCGTAACTTAATAAGTTGTTAAATTTAAACTGAGCCAGCTTAGTTATGATTATCTCTCATGTATGTTGAAACTATTTTCTGTGTAAATATCAATACTGACTACATTTAAGTTTACCGATGCTTATTCGAAGTGGTATTTTTATTACCTCCCTGGCTATGTTATTAACTAACAGTCACTTCAAAGAACACGTAAATATAAGTCCAGGAAATCATTGATTGTTTGTCTGATCTATGTTGTAGACGCATAAAATCCACAAGCGTACAGTGAGCAAGCACAATGAAACTAAGAAAATGTGTGAGAGTTAAAAATCCATGTATATTTTTGAGTGTCAATCAAATATGGATAAATTATTAACTATCTGTATGTTACAACCAATAGGAGAATAGATTTAGGTTGATGTGCAGACACGCGCTCAATCATACACACACAGAAATTAACATAGTGAATGAAGTGTCTGAATTTACAGTGAGTAGACAAATGATACAATAGTTAAATGGGCTTGCTACACACCTATAAAATGGACATTTATGGTTTACTGTGTAGTGGAATATCTTCGGGATAATACTTAGTGCACCGCATGTCACTCGTCCTGACAACCGTTACAAATTTCAGAAAACAATGCAGTGTTGACACAGTTTATCATTGTACAGCACAGATCACATGACCACAACCATACAAAGCGAATTCGAATAGAAATGGAAATGTGAGAAAATACAAGCAAACGAAGGAATTAATTGGGTTTTAGAAGCACATACATTCAATAAAAAGCCGTAAGTAGAGCAGATATTTACTTCACTAAGCAAAATATGTTGGCTATTGTAGTAAGCGTTAACTGAATGCATCTAAACGCTTGAATCAAATTATCCATACATGATAAGTCTCCTTTCTTAATGGTCAACCATGAAGTAACAATATGCTGTCTTCACTCTCACCCTTTCATTCTTTTAATGACTGTTCAAACGTGTGAATCTCTTATGCGTAACTAAAACTTGTAGACATATTTATCCAAATTCTATGTTGCCTATGATTAACCTGATTGAAATAATTCACGATATTTGTTCATCTCCTCAACTTTAATTTTAATTCCTACCAATGAAATTTTTCTAGTTCATGTTATGCTCTGCTTATTGTTGCTATTGTATTTTAATTCATTATAAATCTTATTAGTTTAAACTAATTTTATATTATTTTCAATTGTCAGACGTAATTCTTCTCAAATACAAAATGATCACAGTACAAATGATAATTGGCCTCAACATCATGAACATAGTGATTCTACTGTGTCTAGTTTCTATTCAGTTAATAGTACACTTATTCAGGACTCTGGTGATTCTGTAAATATAAACAATAGTTCTTCAAGTAAACACATATTATTGTGTTTTATATCTGTATTTTATAGATTTCATTTAAATTATCTAAAATTTATTGAATATGGTTTATGAATTAGTTGTTACATAATAATAAGGACAATACTCTGTAATACTTAAAGTAATTGTTGGACGTAGTCGACAGAACACCCAGCTTGACTTGGGTTTTTCCAATTTGACACTCATCAGCACGGTGTACTTGTAACCTAAAGGGAATTGTTGCTCTCTGGCGAATTCGATACTGTATCGAGTTACTACATTATTCGTTACTTAATAATCAATCACTCGTAAATAAATCTCAGCACTGCAAGAGATCCTTGTGGCCTGAATAGCTCAGTGGTAACGTCTGACTATGAAGCTGAGGGGTATGGGATCGAAACTTCCAGAGAGCATTAGTTGCTTCGAGATTACAGGTACGCTGCGCTGACGAGTACCAAATAGGACGAAACCCATGTCATGCAGGGTTCACTGTCGACTACCCCCAAACACTATCTTACCTCTCAACATAATGCAAACGTAGTTGTGACACTTAGACTAGTTATTTGCTTATTTAAACGCATAAACATTGGTACAAGAGGGCACCAAATACATATGCACCACACAAATCACTTGATTTTTGTGAGGGCTAGGATACTGCCCGGGTGCCCAAACTGAAGCACGTGGTTTTCTTAGGGAGCCACTCCTCGTGCTCTTGACCTGGAGGTCTTATCCACAAGGTAATGGAGTGACGTTAGGAGATGCAGTCCCATAATAGCCGGTGACCAACAATACGTTCGTACGCCATTTCCTTCAGGATACTGGAACCCATGTACACCATTAGTTTGAAATCAGGATTTTCCAATTCCTTCAGATGGTTCCCTGTATCTACTAACCCGGGTAAAGCACCAGACATTCTCTTTTCGTCCTCTCAATCTCCTAAACAACACCCCCGCCACGAGAAAGCAGTGAGTAGGACTTCCCTGACAGTGACTGTATACGCGTAGCCATGTGGGAACATTTGGAGAGGGAGAGTGGACTCTCCACACCCTCGATCACACCAGGGCATTTGGGGATTGGTAACCACGGTGCGGTCGATAGAATTTGACTAGCACTAAGATGGGTTTGACATACATGTTATTGGTCACTACTCAATGATCAATCAATTTGTAAAGCTCTGCAACATCGTGTTTCTATGACTTCAGTACATTATAAGAACATATTTTAAGTAATATGTTTCTTAGTAGTCCACAGTGCATTTTATTTATAGTGGATTATCTGTCAATAAATAGTACAATAAAAAGCTTTCCATTTTCATACTTGTTTATACTCATTAGTAAGATGTTTCCATGATCACGCGAAAATTCATTCATATACTCTGTCCGAAGTTCAAATACGTTGTCCAGTGATGGACAGATATTATTACGAACTAGTGCGACTATGAGTGATTAAATATGGATCACTTAAATATGTATATATTTCAGGACAAAATTGTTTGATTTCCTAATTTGTCTGTTCTTCATCTCTGTCATTCCAGCGTTTTCGTTTACCATTTTGTATTCCACGTGTTTCCGTCATAGAATTTAAATTGTATTTGTGAATTAACCGCTCCCTGAGAAAGTCCAGCGCCATTGCAAACGATTTTAAGCCATGTCATTCAAGGTCGCTAACTATCGGTTGCTATCATCTCGCATCTTGCATTAAACATTCCTTATGCATTTCTATCGATAAAAATAATTATTGTATTGTATCCTGGAATTACTTATTTCCTTATTACTGGTCACCAAATTATTTAAATATTTTGCTATCAAAAGTAGTCAAGAATACTATTTTGGTTTTCTTATACACTATTTTATCTTCAGTTATGCATTCTGTGCCGGACACATCTAGGCATTATCAGCATGATCTACCTCACCTTAATGGATCAAAGTAAGATGAAAGTTGTTTGGTTGTTTTTTGAGTGATACCAGTTACTTAATGTCACTATTTTATTCATAGTAAATTTTAGTGGTAAGGGTCCTTTTGGTGCATAGCTCACTATAGATCTCAGTTAATTGCTGCCAGAGTACCCCAATTACCAATAGTTCAGTCTGTTACAAGAATAGAATTTCATTTGAGATTTATTCTTTCCTGTGTTCTGATCTATTTATTAAAATGTAACTAAGTTACCAAGCAGAGGCTTTCGGTCTCAGTGTATTTGTATCTGATTCACTCATGTTCTGTCGATTCCCTCTCATATGCTCTTCGAAAATGTACGTGTACGCTTCTGTATCAGGTTCTGCACTGACGTTTACCCGTTTCATTTACGGTTTATTCCTTCCTTTCTGAAACTATTGTCTGGATGAGTAACTAATCACTATTTTATGCATATCCAAATGACTTTTTAATTACACATCTTTTTCAAACTTCCAACGATTAAAGCTTTTCTAGGGGATATTTTTGATGGGGTCTAGCAGCGAAATCTTGAGCTTAAAAATCATCAGCTGAGTCAGTCAGTCAGCTACAACGTAGGATCAGGAACATATATGGATCGGTCCAAGTTGCCATACCGCATTAGCACAGCAAGATGAACACCGGATTCATAGGAGCAGTTAAGTCAATGGTGATAATATATAAAAGGAAGATTGCATATAAGGATATAGTACAGAAAGAAAGAATTAGTTCGTAGAAAGAAAGATATTGAGCGATTTTAATCTCTTAGTTTAAGGGAAGACAGAGAATGTATACACCTACGCCATTGTGACCTATTCTGAGCCATGTCACCAAAAGTCCCTAACTATTGGTTACGATAGTCACGCGGACCCCAACCAGGTTGTTTATTGTGTCTTCAAAAATGTAACTAACTCATCTCTTACCTCTTCCTCCACTATAACGGTTTGGGAATAATACATATTCAATATATAATCAGAATATAGTTGCTTGGTATTACTAGATACTGTGTAAATTCTGGTTATATTCTTTAGCCACGTCGAAAGATAACAGCAACATCTAAATCCCACATCGTATCTTTCCTAGTTCCGGCTACTCTAAAAACTGATCGTGCAAGAAGGATTAATGAGTTGGGACTAACTCAGATTGATTTAAATGAACATCATGAGCATAAATACATTTACAACGTCCTAAACATAGGTTGAAAAGAACCACAAAATAATAAGGAATTAGCGTCTTTTGTCGGGGTAAAAATAGAGGATAGCTGTCGTGAGAAAATTCGGATTTTTCACCGTTTTTAGATCGTCGTTCACTTTATACCCTCAGTGAAGAATAAATAAGTTAGTATAGTCTATTTCTTACACAGTTATCACTCAACCGCATCAAACCAAACCCCCTACGCTATCAGTAGAACATTATTTTGACTGGCGAAACGCACCTATTCTTGTTATTATAACACTCAAAGCAGTATTCATGAAGTTCGCATTCTCATCCTGTCCTTAAGGTAGATTACTTCACATAGTAATCATAAGACTTCATTTTTTTCGACTGAGTGACGTGATAATTTGTATCAGCACACAATTGTGTATCTAGCATAAATTCTCTCATAAAGATAAATTGTAAAAACCAATTATTTAGCATAAAATTATCTTCAACGATTCCATTTCTCAGTATGGGGTTGTGGAGATTATTAGCTTTTTGATTGAGATCATGAACCAATTGATGTGAGACCATTGGAAACCTAAAAGCTCACTAGTGACTAGCTTCGTGAGGGAATTCTCGGAGTTCTAGTGAGAAGCCGTGACCAGTGGAGCTAATGCGTGTCCTGTAGGCAGGTGTCTACCTCATTACATTGGAAGATGGTCGCGCAATTTCGTGGATTGATTGAAGTTCGACATTAACACCGTTGGATACTGGCTCAAGTGGTCTGCTGAGGATTACCACAACAGGATGAAACGGCTGTCCAGTATTTCCAGGTTTTCAACGGTGGTCTAACATCAATCAGTTCATGATCTCAATCAAAATTCCATTTCTCTGTGTCAGTGTAGTGAGGGAAAACTTGGTTAGAGCAAACAGATTTATTGTTTCTAGCAAAATCACATTGCATTTGTAAAATATATAAACAATACATTAAATATACCATTTCCCCATCTTCCTTGAACTGCCTCTTAGATACTCAATCGTTCTTCCATTCCTGTTTCTTCTCAGACTACTTCTGTTTTTTTCTTTTCCTCTTCAGTCAGTAAAAATCCTACTACCATACATACTGCTTATATGTATCCGTATAAGTCGCACACACCACGATAGCTCTTTGAGCGCAGGAGTGAAGAGACATCCTCACTTTTCTGCATAATATCAAAATCTATACTTCTTTTTTACTTCGTGTTTGTTAACTGGTAACTTATAAATAGGTGAATAAATGTAAATGGATAACTTAGGAAGTTATTTTCCTATAAATCAGTTTATTTACTTTTTATATGTATTCACTTTAATAATTGATTCTTGATATGTTTTGGTAGTGCAGTAATTGAAAGTTTCCATTTGACCAATTTCCTGTTACTATATCTCTTCTACCATTCACAACTTACTATTTATTATTAATAAGCATGTTATTAAGATTTTGCACTGTAAATGTCCCTATTTTTGTGCTTATTGTGAATTATCATTCATAGTGCATCCATGGTCTTGTATTTAATGTATCAATCACATGAGGATTAAAGTTAGAATAATACAGTATAGTGTGAATTATGAGTATCGTTTTCTTGATGTTTTAATTAATGGTTGGTTTGCAAAAATAGATTAGTGAATATGATATGGGCTGCCAATTATCTTGGCATATACACTAACTTACTAGTGTTAACTAATGTATAGTTGACAGAGCATAACGAGAAGTAATTCATAATGGTAATTATCCATGATATTTCATATCGATTCATTAATTTCGTTGTTATAATAATATTGTGTGTTTAGTACAATATTTAGTTCTCAGTATATAGCTGTTTTCAATAATCGACCACTGGCAACACAGAATAATCCTAATAGGCACCAGTTTCTGATTCAAATAAAAATTAAGTTTTAATAAAGTGTTTAGTGTATTGTATGTGCCACCTATTAATTTTACCATTCTAGATAAAACATATTGCATATTATTTTCATTTCTAATGCATAGTGTTATGCAGAAGTCTGGTAATCCTGTATATTTGTGGTCGGAAGATCCTGATCATGAAGTTTCCAAACCCGATTCATTGTCTTCTGTTCCTCGTAAGTGACAGTAGATTGGTTTACCCTAGTTTTTTATAAGCTTAGTATCTCTGTTTATTCACAAATAATTTATGTTTTGAAATGTTAGCGTAGTTTTTCTTATCAAACCTCTATAGTTTTGTTTATCTACATACTCATCCTTCATTTTGTGGGTCACTGATTCCAGCTCCTTTTCAATCAACATTAGTCTTAACATTCGCTTTTTCCCCGTATCCATCACAGATGTTTTGCTAGAAACGCAGAACACAAATCCATTTAAAGAAAAATAGCCATACCCCTCACTGTATCTGCTAGTTTGATAGACGGAGTGTCAGCTTAACCTTATCTGTGATTTGAATGAAGCAGGCAATCAGATGCATACTATGTGCACTGTTTTCAACTCAATGAATGCACCTACTCTACTATCTGAATAAAACACGACTGTAGAGATAAGATTTTCTTCCTACCTGATAATGGACTAAGTGGTAAGTGACTTTCTGTTTTTTTACAACTCAGAATCTCGAATTGTTGGTGAATTGTCCTCATCGGTATGATGAAGGAATATTAAAGATGCCACCTTTGTTTATTCACATCTAAACAATATATGCTATGAACATCGATATGATTATTTCTTTAGTTTACATTTTAATAAATAACTAAAGTAGACATTGTATGCTCAACTTTAAGGAGCCTCAAAAACTATATCCAATTTTATATTCATCAACTGTCACGACTAATTACAAACACTCAACTTGATTGGTATTTCGACTAGTTTATCCAAATGGAACACAATAAAGTTGCTTATTTCAACTGAGACTACAGTAATCATCAAGCATTCAGCAATGTTATACGACAAATTAAAACTTTACATTACAGATTTATTAGTTGCTGTTGTCAGCTTTTTTTATAAGTCTTAGGTGTAACTAAATTTGAATGTCTAGTTGAGTCACCATTCTATTTAGAGAATAAGAATGAAACTAAATTATTTTAAAGATATCTGAACCGACTAGATGTTATGCCCATAATGACTCAGTATTCTGAACTATACCACAGAACGTTCAAAGTTCTTTTTGGTGAAGATCTGTAGGCGAACGACGCGATAAAGGAGCTTTAACTAACTCATTAGTACGGCTGAATGGTCCGTTTCATGGATCCAGTATTAATACACAAAAAAGTACGGGCAAGTAACACCACACATTAAAGTGATTGTGAAAGGTCGTAGAAAAAGATTAATGCTTGACTACGTACATGGAATGGTACACATAGTTCACATATTTAAATATGTTAAACTTTCATAAAAATTTGGAATTGTAAGTAACATCCATATCTACATGAAATTATTAGGTCGTTTTATCAATGTACACGATTTCAATATTTGCCATTACATATACGAGTCTTTCATCAATGTACATCTACTAAGTCACTTATTCATGTTTCATAAAGTACATCAGTCAGTAATAATAACAAAAAGTTGAGTTCAATTTTCCTTCGTCTAATTCACTTCATCCACAAACTGAGTCGTCGCTGAATATTCAATAATTTTTACTGTTCCATTCACTGATTAATAATTTATTCATAAATTCAAATATATTTTTACATTTACCATCTCCTTTGTCTTTCTTTTCACAGTCGATACATCAACTCATTGAATTTTATTGCGACTAGAAAAATCACACATGTATTCGTGAAATATAAAAGTTGGTGAAACTTTAATTCAAATGCTTCCATGCTTCTACCTGACTAAATTGATCCATCTTACTGTGTATTATTCTAAGCTTTCCAAGTGATTAACAAAAATTGATTCCACTAAGTAGTTTTTGCTCTGTATTCTCTCTTTCTCAACTCCCCGTCTATCACTACATATATACATAAACATGAAATTTTATTCCATTTTTTATTTAAAAAAAGAAAATTAGTAAGAAAAACTCATTTGCACAGTTTTTATCGCAGTTCCCTATTTAACATGTACATTGAGAGTTGAAGACTGTGCACACCTCCGTGTGTATTGATTCAATTTATTTGTTATTATTTAGCTATGATGATAATAATCATAAGATACCTCTTCGAATCTTTTTTCATCGCTATTCCAGTTGTTAATTCTGGTTGTAAATTGTACAATTTTATGACTGATTAGTTGATTGATTGGTATTACATAATCAACATTAGATTTTGTTTCATTTTGACTTACTACTACTGTTTTGACATTATGCTTTCTGCGACACGACTAGTCAAATCCACTAAATACTCGGCGGTACTGTATTTCTATTCAGAGAGCTCTTGATTTAGTTCATTTAGTGGTGTTGACTAACAGTGACACAAAAAGCATAATGTCAAAACAGTAGTAGTAAATCAAAATGAAACGAAATCTAATGTTGATTATGTAATACCAATCAATCAACTAATCAGTCATAAAATTGTACAACTTATTTATATAGTTTTATGATTAATCCTATGATTCGTTTTCTCCTTGCCCATCAAAGTTTTATCTCCTTGTTATTGCTTCTGTTTATTTGATGGTATACCAAGTAATCCTGTAATTTTGTAAGCTATACTTCGTGTATCCTCCCCTTCCCTAATACTGAAACAACCTACTACTGTCTTCCTTATATATCCTTTCTTTCCCGGTACACGCGGATGAGTGCCATAATACTTCTTTATAAACAGGTGAAGATTTCTTGTTTTCATGTGTCATATCCACGGTCCCCAGTACATAAACCTCTTGCTAGTTTTTTTTGCACAGTTTTGCTGTTGTTCATTCACTGATGCTTTATCCGATATTTATGCGTGTGCCTGTACGCTTGTCCGCATTTTTTATACCTGTAGGCTATGTGAAAGGAGCAAGACTATTTAACTTTTGTCTATCATATACTTCAATTGGTCATTCTTATTTATGATAATGATAGTAATTATTATTAAACGTTTGGTTAATTTTATCTCATTCTCTTCTCTTCATTATCTCTATTTACATAGCTCCGTTTTAACTCTTATCCGTCATTGTCTATAATTTATTTATAATGAAAGAAATAAAGATTCATTAGTGACAATAGTGGTGAAAATGACTATCTTTTTATATTACGCTTGTTGACCAGTATTTTGGCCTATCCTCCTTATTGTGTATAAAATGTTCTAAACGAATTGAAGCACATAATTTACAAACTGTTAAGTTGTGCGCTACTTCTATTATGTACGTGTTGGCTTCGTTGTATCCACGGTCCTATTGCATATACTTAGAAACGAGAATCACTGCAATTCACACTACGCAAAATGAATACTGTTTTGATTTTAATTTGATGTCTATCATAAGGTCAAATGTTTAGGATATGAGCTCTTAGGGAGTTTTAAATTTATGCTAATATTGTCACAAGGGTGTGTTGTTAAGTAATTTAAAAATTTATTAATTAAGAAAATGGGTCATTCAGGAAAAAAAATAAAAGAATTCAAACCATTTTTACTCAGGATATTCTGATTTTATTTCCCAGATAACAAATAGTCTACTCTTGACTTAAACTATTCCATTACACGTAGTGATTTAATACATGCAATTAAATCAGAGAACCTGGCACCCGGATTTAAGTCACACGTGAATTATGGCAATCTATTGAAAAAATGAAATTCGAACACACGCCTATTTTACTTCCGTTAAAAAAACCTAGTGAAAATACTCAAAAATTATTGTTCAAAAGTTTACCTATTCACGCTAAATATCCATATCGGCAATAATTCATAAATCACAACTGTATATTTCGTCTTTTATTATATAGAAAAATGTTTCCGAGATCATTTATACATTGTGTTAACTTAATCGTACAGAAAATTTAATTCTATTAAAAATATTTCATATCTGATTAATTTGTATCAATGTAACAATTGAAGAAATTAGAAATAATAGTTTTCTAATATTTGTGTATGTATGAGCATAAATTAGTTGTTTAAACAAAACGTGTTATCTCATTATCTTTGACATAAATTGTTCCGTTTTAAATTCATGGGGACGAAACAGACACGTACTTATAGGCATTCACATACAAATGAGAAATGATGACCAGTAGTTGAAGTGGAGCGTAGATAATAAAAAGACCACTCAGGTTTGAAGCAGTTAGAAATAACCGTTCCTTGTACATGGAGAACAACAGAAATCATTTAATATGTTGGGAGGGTAGCTAGCAGTAGAATTTAAGACACATTTCATCCTATTCTGCACTCAATAGCTAGATATATCTGGATTTCGGAGTTGACTTAGTGAATCACATTTCGGTATATGAAGTGGAAGATACTAGGTTCGAGTCTCAGTGTAAGCATCAACAATAGGATACAGATACATCCAACCGACGACTCCCAAATAGGATAGGACGTACGTCTTGGATCCCACTGTTAGCCATAAAATGATATACTAAGACATGTAATAAATGGGTGTGTTGAGACAATCATTCACGATGTAGAAAGATAGACTAAAATATGGATGATTTATGATTACATTTTAAATCTAGGTGGAACTTTCACTAGTTCACCAGTTAATTCTAGTTTCTGGCGAAAAGTAAATATGAATTGTATAATTTCTATACATTAATTTCTTTAATAATAATCATTATGTGAATTACTGATTTTTTAGTAAGAGACTGCCATAAGTGGTATGCTGAAATTGAGACTGATATAATCTAATGTATGACAATAACGATGCGCTATACAAGTAATTAGACGAATTCGGAACTTTGAATCACTGAATTTCCATTTAATAGTATTCTTTCAGTGAGAATCGAAAGCTCTGTGTTCGTGAGTGATAGAGTTCAAAATACGTCTCATTAGTCTGGATAGATTTGTATTATAGATGATGTCAGTTGCTGGAGAAAACCCAATAGAGTTATAACTAACAACACTAACCCAACTTCTAGAACGTAAATTTAATTTTTTTAGTATACGGTAACCGGGACTTAGATATGATAAGAATTGTTTGTCATATTAAGAGCGGTATTTCATTGTAATTTTATTGCTTTCTAACTGTTTTACAGCTAGGCCGCGTTTTCCGACTGGTTTCTCGAGGCAGTCAGCATACCAGCTGTATTATAAAGATAGTTCACTTCATAGTTCAAGTAGTTTCTAATTCCATTTAAATAACCTGGCAACATGTGGAATATTCATAGTCAACAGTGGTACTCAAAGTATGATATTACATAAATTTTCTGATTAGTTTGAAATGATCATAAGTAATCCATGTGTAAAACGACATTGGCAAAACATCGAAAGATTTGTTTAGAATTCGACGGTTGATTACGGTCAGTTCAATTTGGTTATAATAGGAGCTAATAGATACAAATAAAGTAGGTAGATCCGGTGGTTCATCATCACAAAATATAATCGAAACAGTAAGTACACAGAAGAACTTATTCAAAGAAATGTAGTATGAAAATCGTTTATTTTTCTAATGATAAAACGGGTGACTTTCGAACATACTTTCCTGATTAATTTGCGTTGAATCGTGGATAGGTTAACAATATCTCCGCTTTAACAAGATTCCGATCTCATGGTATTCACAATGAATAGTTCTGAAAATTCATTTTCGAACAGAGTTCATTTTAGTTAGACTATCTCAGACAATAATAAAACATTTGTGCAAATGGTGAAACTCTAGACTTCCTATCACAAAACTTATATTCCGAACAGATCCAATCAAAGAGACCATCATAAATTGATTCGAAACTCTTATTATCAAATCACATTACACAATAATCAAGGAGTAAGAGAAGAATATAAGGATGGGAATAGTTTCTGGGTCAGAATTATGAAAGGTAATATACTCACCATACAACCATAAATATGAATATACAGCCTAAGTAAATGGTTTCGTCGAAAAGAATATTTCTGCTGAATTCTCTTTTTATTCAATGACAAGATGGGTTATTTTAATTATCTAATGACCATCATCTTCATTTTAAACCCTTACTAGATATGGCTTCAGTTTTTACTCTTGTATTCACCTTTACAAAAAAATAGTAAAATTTTGAGCAAAACAACGATCATGAAAGAAATTGAAAAACGAGTCAACCCAATGATCACTTTCATTGGTCAGTTAGTTGAATCACAATGTATGTACAAATATATTATTCCCATCACCTAGAATCTACCCAGTGCTCAATTTTTTTGGAAAACAATTAATGATTTTGAAGTGGCCGGGATAGTGTTAGCTTAAGTCAAAACATTAAATAAAATGTTAAAAGTAATGATCAGAATTAATATATGTAGTTAAACTGAATTCACTACATTCATTCAAATGAGTTAATAAGTTCATCAAAGACTGACCAATAAAACTGTTGTTTTCATCATCTTTGTATTTAGATCTGCGTGTATTGACTGACATATATATATATATATATATATATATATATATATATATATATATATATATATATACTAGAGAAAGGTTAATACAAAATTTGAGAAACCAAAATAAACAAACATGGATTGAAAATTTAACATTGATATACTTGAATTCAGACATGTTTATACATACGATTGTATCAGTTACAACAGTAAAGATTCGCGTATTTGGTCACGTTCGAAATTCATCCATAATTAAACATAAATTTAAATGAAGTACTTGCGATTATAATTTGAAGCATGAAGTCACGGATTACATTTCGCTGATCGATGTAAT